CATTACATTACATTACATTACATTACATTACATTACATTACATTACAGAATAGAATAACAGAAGAGAATATACTTTATTTGGCCGAGAGTGATGTGACTCTCGAGGAATCTGTCTCGGGTGCAGAAGCTCTCAGTGTAACCTGCAAAGTTTTTCGGAGTTTTTCCCCGAAGGCCATCACTCCGTTAAACAAATAATTCCCTCAACACTGTCCAACTATTGACAAAATCTGCACTCCTATCACTATTAATCTTCTCATTCCTCCTTATCACCCATCCCCTCCCACTTGTGACTGTAGGACTGTAACTTTGTCGCTTGAATCCTTACGATTTATATTGACTGTTTCCTAGTATGATTTGATTGCTGATTGTACCCTATGACTATCATTAAGTGTTGTACGTTACGATTCTTGATTCTTAATGAACGTGCCTTTTCTTTATGTACACTGAGAGCATTTGCACCAAGACAAATTCCTTGTGTGTGCAATCACCCTTGGTCAATAAAGCTTTCTTTTTTCTTTTCTTTTTTCTTTCTTTCTTTCTTTCTTTCTTTCTTTCTTTCTTTCTTTCTTTCTTTCTTTCTTTCTCTTTCTTTCTTTCTTTCTTTCTTTCTCTTTCTTTCCTATTTATCATCTATCTATCTATCTATCTATCTATTATCTATCTATCTATCTATCTATCTATCTATCTCTCTATCTATCTATCTATCCATCCATCCATCCATCCATCTGTCACTATCTATCTATCTATCTATCTATCTATCTATCTATCTATCTATCTATCTAAAGCTTCTCTTGCATAATATCTCTCTATCCATCTACTGTTTCCGTCAGAAAAGTAGGAAGCCAAGTGCGAGAGAGGTGATTTAAAAAAAATAAAAGGGATGTGAGAAATAAATAAAAAATACAATTTTCAAAGATTCCAGAACTCTGGAACCTCACGTAGGCAAAGCGGAAACAAACTCAGGAACAAAGGGGTTTGTATCCTCAAGCAAACGCATCCTTCCCTGGGGCAGGGACGGGGGGGGGTGTGTGTGGCGGTCGCAGAGCCCCCGGGTGGAGGAGGAGGCCTGGCTGAAAGCTCCTTGTTTACTTCTGCTGGGGAGAATAAGGTGTTGATTCCCAATATAACTTCCTATTAAAGGTTCTCTTTCATTTGGAAACGTAACACCTATGAGGGGTTTCCAAAGGATGTCCTCTCTCTCTCTCTCTCTCTCTCTCTCTCTTTTCCCTCCCCTCTCAAAAAAAAAAGGGGGGGGGATTCATTTACTAGACCTTCAACTTCTGCCCTGCGCTTTGCGATGGTCTTTGGGACGGTGAGATGGTTCCTGCCAAATAGGCCGTCACAGGGTTGTGTTTGCTCCGCCTGTGTAAAACATCCACTGACTTTCCTGCCCAGGGACACCCACAACACACACACACACCTTGCACAAAAGCAAAAGCCCCCGAGGGGCAGCAAGGGGGCTGGGCAGGACACAGTCGTAAAGGCCATCTTGCCTTTGTCGACACCCCCCACCCCCGACGCCCCTGCCCTCACAGCAAACTCCACCCTTTCATTAGACAGGGAATCCTCGACTTATGACTGCAGGTGGAGTAAGAATTCCCGTTGCTCAGTAAAGCGGCTGCTGAATGAGTTTTTCTAGGGTTTTTTTTTTTTGCGACAGTGGTAAGCCAGTCGCTGCCGTCTTTAAGCGAATCACACGGTTGTCAAGGCGAATCTGGCTTCCCTCATTTGTTATCCAAGCCAGCCGGGAAGGTCACAAAAGAAGATCAGTGGATCTCAGGACCCCGCAACAGTCATAAACACAGGCCGACGGCCAAGCCCCTTGGTCGCAAGGGCATGCCACAGTGGTCATAAGTGTGAGGGCTAGTCATAAGTAACCCTTTTTCCAGGGCCTTTGGAGCTTTGAAAGCTGGCCGTGGTGGCGCAGTGGTTAGAATGCAGTACTGCAGGCGATTTCTGCTGGCTGCCGGCTGCTCCTGACCTGCTCAAGTTTGACTCAGCCTTCCGTCCTTCCGAGGTCAGTCAAATGAGGACCCCGATTGTTGTGGGGGGGGGAGGCAGGAGGCTGACTGTCAACCACTTAGAGAGGGCTGGAAACGCATTATAAAGCAGTATATAAGTCTCAATGCGATGACTCTTGCGATTGCCAAATACTTGATGGAGGACTGTCCTTATGGACAAAAATGGAGGCGGAAGCTCTTTTATAGGAAAAAGGACCGCTTTAAGACTGGTGGACTTCAACTCCCTGAATTCTCCAGCCAGCTCCGCTTCTGGGAGTTGGAAGTCCACCAGTCTTAAAGCGGCCAAGTTTGGGGACCTCTACTCTACTCCCTCCGACTGACAGTCCTTCCAGTCAGGGAAAGCCAGAGGCTTCTGTATTAAGATTAAATTCTGACAATCTCTTTAGAAGTCCCCATTCCAGGCATATGTTCAGCAAGGCAGCTTCCCAATTCCTCCCCTTGGATTCCTGATTTTCCTTCCCAAATCAGCTCCAACAAGAGGGGGCTCATTTCAGCCTCCTCACAACAGCAGGCAAAGATGGGAGAAGCAAACCCCTTTAAAAAAAAGGGGCTGGCCCTTTAAATTCATACCCTCCCCTTCTCAGCCCACCCACCCAAAAGGAACCTGAAAGCCCTGGGAAACCCAAGATATATATACATTTTTAAAATAAGAATAATAAGAATAAAAGCCCCAGCTTTCCCTCCTTGTTGAAAATCCCAGGGCTGGGACCCTTTGATCACCCTTGGACGTCTGTTTCTCTTGACAGTTGCAAAGTTTTCTCGGGCCAGAAGACCGTCCCACCCCAAAGAGATTCCTCTCTAGGCCAGGGGCCTGTAAACTGAAACATTCAAAAGAGCTTTTTGGACCCGTTTGCCCACAGAAAACACCGGGAGCCACAAAACCTGGGTGGGCGTGGCCAACTCAATCCCACTCCAGTGGTGTGGGATTCAGCCGGTTCACACCGGTTCAGGCGACCCGGTAGCAAAGGATCTGGCATGGGTCAACAAACCAGTAACTTCTGGCTGGCCACGCCCCCCCCACCCGGTGGCCCCTCCCCTCCCTCCCCATGGCAGCCTCAGTCAGTTTAATATTTGGAGGCTGTGAGTTCGATCCCAGGTAGAGGCTAATATTTGGAGTAGACTCTCCTCCTTGAGCAGGGGGTTGGACTAGATGACCTCCAAGGTCCCTTCCAATTCTGTCATTCTATGAAATTTATCAAGGAGGAAGGAATGGAGGTTAGGTCCTGAGGGCGGATGGCTTTGGGGGCCCTAAGGGAGCCTGGATCAAGTCACCAAGGGTTGAGCTTGGGGCGAGGGGGGGGGCACATCACCCCCCCATCCACTACTTTTACCCCATGGTGCCCCCTCCCCCTTGGGACCGGCCTTTGGGCACAGGGACCCCATCCAAACACATGGGAATGTGGGGCCCACCGAAGGATGGGACTGGCTTTTAGAAGGCAGAATCACAGGGTTGGAAGGGATCTTAGAGGTCATCTAGTCCGATTCCCTGCTCCGGGCAGGAGGCTCCCTACTATTCCGGACAAACGGCTCTCCAGCCTCTTCTTCAAAAAACCTCCACCGATGGTGCAGGGGAGGTTTGGGGGGACAGTTTGGGCTGGATCCCCCTCCAAAAGACACCCCAAGGATTGGGGTGCTTTGACCGCCCTTGACAGGTGGAGGGGCAGCCCAGCTCCTGCCCCCCTCCTCTCCCCCTTCCTCCAGCCCAACTCTGGTGCCCGTTTCTCGGTGGAGGGGCGCTGAAAGCAGCCCGAAGCCCTCAGGTAGGACTGGCCGCATCCCCCCTCCTCCTCTTCTTCTTCACTCCTTCCTCCTCTTTCTCTTCCTCCTCTTCCTCCTTTTTTCTCTTCCTCTTCTTCCTCTTCTTCACTCCTTCCTC